TGTAGATACTGCGCACGTCTACTCCCACTATAAACTAATTCACACGTTAGTCACCGTCCCTGCACCATCCTCTTGTGCAGCACATGGTGAACATAGTACGAATCGATGCTCAGACAGTCGTCTGTATGCCTTTTGCGTCGGTGATAGGAGTGGTTGCATGCGAACGTTCCGTAGTTACGCCCGTCACTGATGTCTGTTCTGCTGCCTGGCCACGTGCCGCTTCAGACTGAGTCCTCGGTAAATTTCTGTTTCATACAATTATTGAATTAACTCCCAATTGAGGGTACTTTGTAGATCTCAGCTCTACTTTTGCAAAGCTCCTTTCAAGTGTCAGTGAGCTAGTCGGAAGATATTACTCGTTATAACTATGCACCTGGCTAGGCCGCCTGTACTGTGCGTATGTATGCGTTGAAGGTGGCCACCCCCCACGTACACCTTGCATTTTCAAGTAGTGTTCGTTCAAACCCTCCAGCTACTCGCGCCCGATTTGCTCGACAGGTGCCCTTACAGGTGCCCGGGTTCACTTTAGTCTTATTAAGTGAAAGATAGGCGAACGAACCTTCGAACTCCCTACTGATAAGGGGATGGCTATGAAATTTATCGATAAAAAAGAAAAATTCAAAAAGAAATACGTCCATTAAATGCCTTTAGGCGAAAACCGAGCGGCTATTTGGTTGTCCGAAAGAGTAATCATACATGGCTACTCACTTAGCGCGAGTAATATAATGATGGAAGTATTATGACACATGCAGATACAGTGGCATCTCGGTTAACGAGTTTAATCGTTTGCGGAACCGTGCCCATCGTGTGGAACGCTCGTCTTGCATCCGTTTACCGATTAGCTGCAGGTGACCGAGGACTCAAGCCCTGGAAGCAAGACTAAACGACCAACATAGGCATACATACACACGCACTGACAGCACCTTAATTGGGCGGAAATTCGCCAGGCGAAACAAAATTTCTGCTAATGACTCGCTCGTTACCTGAAATGCTCGTAGATAGGGGCTGCTCGTCACCCGAAGCTCTACTGTAGGGCATTGAGAAGTCCATCCACGGTACTCGAAGTCATGTAAAATAATGTGTATCCCTGCAATAGGCGTCTACTTGGCTTCCCATAATGCCCTGTTGACGCGTGAAGTTAACGTCGACAATTTGATCTGGGGGCGCACGGAGAATTTCCGTTGCGAAAGCTTCAGTAAGCTCGAGTGGTAAGCACTCACTGAAAGTCAACTCACGTTTTGTTGTTCAACGAACTGCCACCTGCTATGTTTCTCTTCCTCCTCCTTGTCCACCTCCAGCTCTTCGTTCGCAGAATCAGAGTGGTGATGATCTCCGCATCCGCAGTGCCGAATCAAAAAGCAAAATTAACGGATTCCTCGCTCTGTCTGCCATGCTTGTCAACAACGCCCACATTCCTGACATTTACATGATCCTGGTTCATCTTCTGCTGGGGATTCAGACGCCCTGTGATACCCCACTTGCCGTAAGTCCTCCCCTTTCCTTTGCCAAATAAAGACACAAAGCACACACATATACAGGGAAACCGTATCACCGGATTGTAATGAGGTATTAAGTTGTTTTGAGGGGGCATCCCTCAGGACTAAGGACAAGCACTTCCTGATATAGACAGATAATGTTGCCGGCACAGACAAGGGAGACTGGAGAGGCCATTTGCCGGCAATATTATCTGCCTATATTAACAGCTGCTACGGCTGTCAGGACTTATGTCGAGGCCCAAGGCAGAGTGGGACAGATGAGTTCCGTTAGCGGTCAGGTTATCGTTCAACGACTTTATAATATACTAGCGTGGAAGCCCGGCTTCGCCTTGGGCTTCCTTACACGTCGTTGTCCCTTATGTAGGCAAAAAGTAGGCAAACCGTATATGGGAACCTCTTAAAATGATTATGAAGTAGAAGGTGAGTAGGTCGGAATTTCTGA